TGAAAACCACAATGAGATACCACTTAATACTCACTAGGATGGATATAATAAAAAAGACAGACAGTAACAAGTATTGGCAAGGATGTGGAGAAATAGGAATCTTCTTTCATAATGGATAAAATGTAAAATGGTAGAGCAACTTTAGAAAATAGTTTGGCAGTCCCCCAAACTGTTAAACAAAGAGTTAACATAGGACCAAGCAAGTCCACTCTGAGGCTTACATTCAAAAGAAATGAAAACATGTCAACACAAATGTTCACAGTACCATTATTCATAATAAGCTAACAAAAGAAAGAAAAAAAGTGGAGCAACCCAAATGTCCATCAAATGATGGATAAACATAATATGGTATGTCCATACAATGGAATATTATTTCTTAATAAAAAGTAATGAAGCACTGACACACGATACAGCACTGATGAACCCAAGAGACATTATGCTAGGTAAAAAGAAGTCAGTCACAAAAGACCACATAATGTATGATATGAAATGTCTAGAATAGGCAAATTTATACAGATAGAAAATAAGTGGTTGTCAGGGCAAGAGAGGTGGGGTAAGAGTGACTGCGAATGGGTACTTTGATTTTTTTGGGGGGATAATGCAAAGGTTTTAAAGCTGATTATAGTGATGGTTGTACTTTGTTAGTATACTAAAAACCACTAAGTAGTGCACTTTAATGGGTGAAATTTATGATAGGTGAATTATCTCAATGAAGATCCTAAAAAAACAGTAACAAAAACGGCTGACCTATGGTTGTGAGACCATGAGAATCTTGCTCTGAATCACTCACATTCCAGATGTCCTCCGGTTTACACAGCACAAACATACACAAACAAGAGTCACCTTCTACCACCTGACACACACAATTATAACACCTCCTCAGACAACCATTTGGTCAGCACGATGCAAGTTTTTATTTTTGGAATGCAGTGCTGCAATGTACATAATATGGTATATCCATACAATGTACATCCTAATCTTCTGGAGGGGCTCAAGAAACCTGCAGTTGGCTGATCTCATGGCAGCATTCCTGTCTGTTGAGTGGACAGGAAAGTAACCTAAAACTGAAAAGAAGAAAATTCACAGCACAGCTCGGAAAATTTCCTTGTGAACAAAACATATGCACAACAGTGGGCAAAGTCTTCCTTACTCCTGAACTCCTTCCCACCTCCCACCCCCAAAAAGAATCCGCTATTCTAGGTCAGAAACTTTAAATATAGGTGCATTATGAATCAGCTCGAATTATATAATTATCAAGCAGGAAGGACCTTTAAAAATGTTACATAGTGGAGCACTGACTCTGGAACAACTTACTAACTGTGTGACCTTGGATCAGTTCCTTCACCTTTGTGTCCCAATGTCTTCATCTGGAAAATGGGAATAATAAAGGCAACAGCTTCTTAAAATTGCTGTGAAGGTTAAATGAGCTACTATGTAAAATGTTTAGAACATTATAAGTGTTAAGTTTTTATTACTCTTAAAATATTAACTGGTGAATCTCATCATTTTGATGGAGGAAGGCACTAAAGCTCAGAAAGGTCAAGTGACTCTGAAGCTTGTAGTGATGGAGCTGGTATCAGACTTGAAGTCTCTCTGACTCTTCAATTAATGTTCTACTACAGAGCATTACGTTATAACCACACATGTGTAATATCCCTTCATTAACTTCTAGGGCTTGAAAGATACAAATGACAAACATACAGTGCCTAGTGCTATGTCTTACACAATAGGTATTTGGGAAATGTTTAATCCATTCCATCTTTAATTCCAGGTTTAATTTTCTAATATCTGAAGAGAGGGCTTGACACTAAATCCTGCAATGTCCAATGTTCTTCTGCTCAAAGGGAAGGATGGCTCAGAACTGTGGAAGAAAATAAGTATATACCTTTTTTTTCTTTCATTTTCCTCTGAAGGAACACAGTGTACCTGAGTATGCCTAGTTTATTAGGGAAAAGAGATTTTTCTTCCTTCCTCTTTCTGTATTTTAGCAGTACATTCATGTAAGCAACTTAAGATTCTATTCGCAGGGCCTGATGATTTTCCAATTTTCAGTAATGGATTATCAGTTTAATTGAACAGGCAAAACAAGCTCACAAAAAACTGTAAGTTAGCAAAAACCAGTAAATGCAGCCAAAATATGCTTTTAAACAATCTCACCTTACACACACATACACATACAAAATCACTCCATAGTGTTTAAGCCGGCCTATGAAGTCCTGCATTATCAGACCTCCCACCCACCCCTGCAGCCCTGCTGGAGCTGCACTACTCCCAGCGCTCCTGCAATGCGGGTGTTCCTTTCCTCTCCTCAAACTCCCCAGTCTCTATCCTGCTTTAGGGCCTTGACACTGACATTCCCTGTGCCTACAGTTCTTCCTTATAGGCTCCAGCTGCACCTTGGCCTTGGTTTTGCCACCTAGCTAGCTTCTATTTACACTTCAGGCTCCACTTATATCTTTTCTTCAAAGAGTCCTTCCCCAGCAACCCAAACTAGCCTCTTCTCTTCCTCCTCCCTCAAATCATGCACATGTGGAACATGCTTCTAACCACTTATCCAATGAATGTCTTTCTCCCCCATGAAAATGTAAGCTCAAGGAAGGCAGGTGCTATGTCTGTCTTGTTCACCATGGCTTGCCCTGTGCCTACCAGTAGCCAGCACAGAGCAGGTGGTGAATGAAATCAACATCTTTCAAGGATTCAAAGGATCAGCTGATAAGCTGATTTCCTAACTTCTCCACTCAAATTTGACACAAGGCATCCCATATCAAGCTGTGGGCATGACAGAAATACACAGACTATATAAACAGATAATGTATTCCCTTTAAAGAAAAATTCAGAGTGAAAACTTGCACTGGGAATATATATATTTTAAAATACTGTATGTAAAACCGTAAGAAAAAAATGTTACTTTAAAAAACTACAGAAGAAGAAAAAGTGGTGATGTCTTTATGAAAGCTTGTCATTAACACTTAGATTATGTTCTTTTTGGGAGACTAACTTACACAGAAGGGTGGAAGAAACAAGAATGCATTTGTTCCTCCTAGGTCATACCATTACTTTCTAAGGTAAATTTATCTTCTAATGAAAAATAATGTATTGGGCCATAATTCTAAGTATATCCAGGAAAAGTACTCAGTGGTGAGATGAAATTCTATGAACAATGTGCCGACAATGAGGCAACATGTGGGCCAAGGAAACAAGCAGCATGATGTTAAGGACAGCTACCTCTGGCAATGGCTTCAGGGCACCTTTTCTTTAGGGCTTCCACACTGGCACCACTCACAGAATTCACTTCTTTTACTTGGGGCAGAAAAAAGTAGACTGTTTTCCAGTAGAGTAGATGGTACAGACATCACATGATAAAGATTCCAAAGAATCCTTCCAGAGAAAATTCACTTTATTGAAGGATACAGAAAAACAGTCAGGAAAAAAAAAGAAAGCATTTCATGACCAGGAAGTAGGTGTTGTACCAAGAGACTAAACTTTGCATATAAAGGAAGAGGAAAGGCAAAAAAGCAGTTGGGGGGTGGTGTGTGTGTGTGTGTGCAGGGGGGAGGGGTTGGTAGGGAGATGGAAAAAAGTGCACAGAATGAAAGAAAAAAAGTTAGAAAACATGTGTGATGGAAAGGGATGAAATTTTATTCAAAGGCATTAAAGTCTATACACATCAGAGCTTAGAGATACCTCAAACGGAAAATTACCTGATCAAGCATCCACCCAATAGGTTAGTAGAGTATGTCTCTGACATTAACCAAAGCCCAACCATAAGTTACCCACATTTAATGTACCTGCTTGACACCAATGAAGGTCCTAAGCAAAGGCACAGTCTTCTAAAACATCTCTCCTCATTCAGTCCCTACTAATGATTAGAGAAAAATAAACAGAACTCACTTTTAACCACACTTCACATAAGTTAGAGATTCTGGGTACACCCAACAGGTGCACTTTAGGCTGTGCTGTGTAACCTCATCAAAATCACTATGCTAACTGATCCTCCCAGACACATCGTCCTTCAAACAACACAAAGCATCACCACAGGACAACCTTTAAGAAACTGTCCTTTCAAAGGAAGGATGGGAAAATATATCCTCCACTGTAAGACATATCGAGAATATTTCTGATTTCAAATACATTGCTTTTAAAATTAAAAGTGCCTAGCTCATTTTCTATAATAAAAAGGTTAATTCCAAAAAGGTGCCTAGTAGTTTCCAGCACACAGAAGGCTTTTACAAAATATTGCTTGCACAAATGAAAAAATGCTCTTTCTGAATCATAATTACAGTTGGAGGACAGTTATGAGCTCAAGATAGGAAGAAAGTACTTCCACTGATTGGTAAAGGGGCAGGGTATTATTTTTAAGCCATTCTGCTCAGGAGGGCAATAAAACAGTATATTTGTTTTTATTTTAGGGCAATTTCTGGGTCTGTGAGACAAAAAGAAATACTCAGGGAGAAAACCAAAAATCCTGTGCATATTTTGGAGTTTTGAAACTGTTGAATGCAACTCTGATACCTTGGTCTGCAAGCAGGTAACTTAGAGGGTGACAAAGGAAAAGGGTTTGTACTTAGGGTTTTTTTTTTTGAAAAAGGACCTTTCACCTCTGGAATTCCAGATTGCTGCTGGCATTCATCTGAAGCCTTCCGACCTACCTGCTGGCCAGGCAAAACCAGCTCCTCCGCTCTAATTCCAGAGACTCCTACAGGAACCCACCGCAGGAGTCAGGGCCCCCCTCCCTCTGACACCGGGAGCCACCGTGCCTTTCAAATCACCCCAAATCTTAGTATTAGGTAGCTTTCCTTATGTGAAACGGTAGCCACTGCCTCACCCAGCTCCAATAGGGGGCTGTGTCCGCACAGCACGGGTGACAGGGTCCTGTGAGAGAACCGCTCTCCCGGTCCGTGCGGCCTCTCGGGTCTCAGGAAGGACCGCGACCCCCACCCCAGGAGCCACCCTCCTGCCGCTCAAACAAAGGACCCGGCCTTGGGGCGCCCCCGACTCACCGCTCAGATAGTTGGTCCACTTATACAGCACCCCCTCCATGGCGCCCGCGGCCCCTGCGCCTGCGCCGAGCCGGGGCCACTTCCCCTCGCCCCCCGGCCCCCTCACAGCCCCAGGCCCCAGGGGGAGAGGAGCACCGGCAGCAGGGCCATCGCCTGGCGCTGCCGAGCCGCCCACTCCTGGCGCCGGGCTCGGTGCGGGGACGCCCAGCCGGCCTCACATCTTTGGCCCGGGGGCGGGGTCACTGCGGCGGCCTTGGCACCTGAGGACGCGGCCCGCCGGTGATCCCGCGCGGTGAAGCCGGCGCGGTGTCCACAGTAGACCAAGGCACTGGGTGGGCCCGAGTGGAGGCTGAAACCTCCAATGTGCCCCCAGCAAGGTAGCCGGACGCTGGCGGCGCCACCGCGCACTACCGCAGCCCTAGACCTGCGGGGCCCGGGACCCGCTCGCGCATGCTCAGTGCACAGCTGGTGCGCACGTTCCCAAAATCCACTCCGGGATGTGGCTGCGACCTCGGCGGCAGAGCCCGCAAAGCTGGCGAGGTCCTCAAGGAAACTGAGTCCTGCGCGGCGGCCTCGGGAGTGGCTGAAGGGGTAAAGGGAGGCCTCTGGGACAAGTGTGGGATGCAGTCCTGTTAATGGGGCCGTAAACAGGTCGGGCCCCGCCTATGCTGTTTCGGAGTCAACTTGGCCCCTTAGGGTATTCCTTGGATTCTAGTCCCCTGGGTGCAAAAACTTGAGATAAGTCTCAAGACTGTAATTTATCCCACACACTCGAGGTACCCAACAACAGGGTGTGTGGAGATGATGGGAGTTTCACGAAGAATACTGTGGCCAGTGTAAACAGATGTCTAAACTCTAAAGGCGTCGCTACTGTAAGTGTGGTCCCTGGACAAAAACGTGGTCATTACCTGGAAGCATGTCAGAGTTACAGAATGCTCCTAGCCTAGACCTCCTGAGTCAAAACCTGCATTTTAACAACATCCTCCGGGGATTCCTATGCATACTTAAGTGTGAGAAAGTAATGTGTTAAGGATAACTGACCGGGTATTAACTCTAAGTTGAAAGACCGGTTACGAAATAAAGTGTACAATATGATCCAAATTATTTTAGCCACATGTCACAGAAGCATGCACCAAAAGGTTAAAATGATTATTGGTGGATGATGGTATAGACAATTTTTTTCTTTTCTGTTTTTTTCTTTTACTTAAGTTGCCATATCTAGCAAATAAAAATACAGAATTAATTCGTTGTTTATCTGAAATTCAAATTTAACTCAACTCCTGTATTTTAACTGGAAAACCTACGTTAGTGCTTTCCGGTTTCTTCTAAGTCAAGTACAATGAATATGTGCTGCTTTTGAAATAAGGTGAAAATTTTAAAAATAAAAATTAAACTAAGATGGGCCCATGTAACTCATAACTGTGATTACTATTTCTTCTTTAAAGCGGAGGTTTGCACGTTCTTATCCTTGATAGAAGCTATTATTGTCACTCTACACTAAGGCCACCAAAGTTATAATTAGCAACAGTAACATTATGCAGTGTTGTAGTATGAATCAAAAGACCTGGTTTGAAGGCAGAGCTCAACTGCTTTGGGACCCAGCAACCTTAAGCAGGACACTTAACGTCTCCTAGGCTCATTTTGCCAGTCTTTTATTTATTTATTTGTTTGTTTGTTTATTATTAAGGTATCATTGATATACTCTTATGAAAGTTTCACATGAAAAACAGTGTAATTACTACATTTACCCATATTATCAAGTCCTCCCCATACCCCATTGAAGTCACTGTCCATCAGTGTAGTAAGATGCCACAGAGTCACTACTTCTCTTCTCCGTGCTACACTGTCTTTGCCAATCTTTTAAATGGGACAAAAGAACCTGCTTTACTGACAATGTAGTGAGGTTCACGCCAGGGAACCCGCTCTGTGGCCCCTACAACACTTTTAAATCTTTACCCTTCATATTGTTAAATAGCAGGAGTCTTAGATTGGTGGGATCCTGGGAGGCCTCCCTCTGACTGCGAGAGTAAACAAGTCTTTCCTGATACCTCTACCTTTTCACCTAGCCCCGAACCTCAGGCCGGCGTAAATTTGCAGAAGGAGTTTCCGGTTAGCTCTGCACCCCACCTCTCCCGCAAAGTCTGGAGGCTGTGGAATTCTTCACTCCGCCAGGCTCTAGGACATTCCGGGTGATTCGCCGGTGGGCGCCTGTCCCGTCCCGCCCAGCTGTAATTCGTCCAACGTCATTGGCTTGAGAAGCACCTACGACGGCATCACAAGCCAATGGGAGGCCGATCTTCCCAGGCGGCCGCTATGTAAGAGCCAGTCAGGCCCTGCTTTGGGTTTAACTCTTTGAAGGTCAGTTCGCAGTGCGTGGGAAAGTTGTCGGTGGTAAATGTGCCACGTCTGCTAGGAATGGGGCGTCATGAACTTGCCAGAAGCCGTTGCCCTTAAGCCTTCAACTGCATTCTCAATTCTGTGAGGGAGGCCCTTTCTCTGTTTTTGTAGGAACTTCTTTCCTGCTCCAGCACCATGAGGCTTTTCCTGTGGAACGCGGTCCTGACGTTGTTAGTCACTTCTTTGATTGGGGCTCTGATCCCAGAGCCAGAAGTGAAGATTGAAGTGCTCCAGAAGCCGTTCATCTGCCATCGCAAGACCAAAGGAGGGGATTTGATGTTGGTGCACTATGAAGGCTACTTAGAAAAAGACGGCTCCTTATTTCACTCCACGTAAGTATGCCCCGCAGGTAAAACAATAAAGAACCCATCCACCTAGGCTAGCTGTCGGGCAGGAAATGTAGCCTATACTAGATTTTATGTATCTTTTAAAAAAATCGAGACATCTCATTTCCTTCTTTGGGGAAATTGTTTAAAGCCACTCTTATATAACGAGTCTTTTGAAGGTCTTATTGGAAACAGGTGGTATGATAAATTTTTTTATTATAAAAATTAGAACTAGAATCTTTGAAATGCTGCGCACGAAAAAAAAAGCTTAAAGGAATTCTCATTTCTCAAACTCCATTCCTGAGGGAAAATGATGTGATTCCATTTACAGTTCGTTTAGGTGAAATTTCCTTCAAACTTTTTACAGCGACTTCATGAGCAGAATAAACAGTTATTTAATTGCTTATTGTAGAACATGCTAATACTAGTTAGTCCATTGACCTATTTAACTTGTTCTGAAGATGACCTTTTGGCCAAGGCATTGGACCATGATTTGTTTCATCATTTGTTTCTTTCTAGAAATTGAAAGACTTCATTGATGGGTGTGGGTGTGGTTATGGAAGATTAACCCAAAACCTACAGTGAAGGATTTTCAGGTGGTTACACTTTATTTATGTTCTATAAACAAAGAATTTGTAACATGGAAAAGTTTTACAAATGTAATGATTTCCAGTTAGGCGTTGATTTTCTTCATTCCAAAATTATTTATTAAGTATTTCCTTTGTGTTAGGCCCTGTGCTTGATACAAGGGAGATCAAAACTTTTTGGCTTCTCTCTACCCTCATCCAATCTATCAAACCTTTGTTGAGCGACCACAAGTCAGGTCCTAGGGTTGTAAAGATGACTAAGAGCCGGTTCTTGTCCTATAACAGTACCCTGTCAGCAGTAGGGAAGAAGACAAGTCAATACTCATGCAATGGAGTACAGAATATTCCACGTACTCACAAAGCATAATGGAGCCTGGAATTAATTATGCTCTGAAAGGTGGGGAAAGAGAAAGACTTATCAAAGATCATACTTGAGATGGGCGTTGAAAGATGGGTGGAGGGTTCCAGGTGGAAAATGCGGGTGGAGAGAGGACTTTCCAGGTAAATAGAATGGAATGAACTGAAGCAGTGAAGCTTGGTGGCCCATCTTAGACCTGTTCTCTGATCAACTGCTTTTACTGGGCATTCAGACCTGGTCTGTTGTGAGGTTTTAGAGAAGTGATTGGCACTCTTTTCTGAACTATGTTAGACCTTGCAAAAGATTCCAAAATGATGGCCTCCCATAGAATTTTCAAAAGCCAGATCTTATCACCAAGGCTAGTTCCATGGTAGATGTCAAACAATATCATGATTTGCATTTTAAATTTTCAATTACATTCTTATTTTGCATCTGATCTCTTTTAGACCCAGCATGATTTCTCTTAGGTCTTAAAACCAAAAACCTTTGTGGACTTTGGTCGTAGCCATGGGACATGACATCATTTAGCAATTTGCTACTAAAGTTCTAGTACTGGTTGAGGGGACTGTTGTCATGCAGCCTCCATGTGTATGGTCAGGAAGTACTAATCTTGAGTATTAAGAAGCACCATCACATGATTGGTTTATAAAACATGTTCACCATTTCTAGAACCATAGCCTATGTGGAGAATAGCTTAAATCCTTCAGCCATGATAAGAAATGTGCCAAAACTGTAGACAGTGCTGGATAGAGACTGTTGCCTTCTTTATTCTTTTCTAGCCTTCCCAAATACAGTTGACATTTTGTTACTTTGACCATGGGGGGACATCAAGGAAAGGAGAAAGTGATTCCCTTTACCTAGATTTAGTAACAGTGATTCCCATGAAACCTAGTATCTCATCTGCAAAGATATTCTTAAATAGAACACTTTCCTTATTGCACCAACAGGGAACTACGGGCTCAGACACCCTCAAGCCTCCACCAATAGCTTGGGTGGTTGGTTTTCTTAGGCTGACTTCAGCTCATGAGCCAGGATATCTTGACCATCCTCTTTTTCCTCTGTCCTTGAGGGCCCACTCCTCTAGGCTTTCCTGCATAGACCCAACAGTAGACCCCTGTGGAGAGAACTGGGCTGGGTCTGAGTAGGGATTCCGCGTCAAAGAGCAACCTTTTCCCATTACCGGAGCCATCAGCAGGCTGTACATCAGGAAAGTTTGTAGACAGGGTATAAGATGCTGTGCTCCTGACTCTCCTGTGTGCATGTGGGTGTAGATTCACAAGTGTTGGCAGTAACATCTTAGCCTCTCCTCCTTCTCAAACTCAGCCATTTTCCATTATTTTCTCCCTCTTCTCCTAACTTGGGGCCTTCCTGGCACAGCATCACTTTGGAGTTAGGTCAAATACTGGCACACTTAACCTCAGTTTCCTTCTCTGTACTATGGGGAAATAATGGTACTTACCTCATATGATCATTGTTAGAGTTAAAAGAGGCAAAGCATTTAGGGTAATACCTAGTATACAATAAATGCTCAAATAATTGTTAATTGTTTTTATTATCATTCCCTCTGCCCTTTTCTAGTTGCATCTACTGTGTGAAATTTGCATCAAGAAATATGCTCAGTAAATTGAATTTTATAAAGTTGATTTGGTTTTGTGTGTTGTGTGTGTAGCTATTTTCATTAGTTTCCACATTTAACCACTTATAGGTAGAAAAAAATGCACCACAACAATAAAAAGAATAAAATACTAAAGAGTTCTAATGTGTTTTCTTTCTATCATAGTCACAAACATAACAATGGTCAACCCATTTGGTTCACCCTGGGGATCCTGGAGGCTCTCAAAGGTTGGGACCAGGGCTTAAAGGGAATGTGTGTAGGAGAGAAGAGAAAGCTCATCATTCCTCCTGCCCTGGGCTATGGCAAAGAAGGAAAAGGTAATAATAACTCTACATTTTTACTACAGCACTAGAGTTCTCTGGATTAGGAGACAGTAGTTAGTGTAGCTACTATGTATTTTTTTTTTCCTAAAAATAGAGGATAATTATTTCTTTGGGAAATATAATTATGTCATGGCTATCCTTTCAAATGCCAATTAAAGCTGTAGTATTATTTGGTCAACTGGGCTAATAATGAAAAAAGGTTCTGGAGCCTTCAACTCTATTATTAACAATTAGCTACCATATTAATCAATATAGTGAATTTTTAAGAAGTTTATTGTGGTACAGTATACATAACAGTGTTTATTATTTTAACCATTTTAAGTATACAGTTCAGTGGCATTAAGTACATCACATCGTTGTGCAAGCATCACCATCATCCATCTCCAGAAGTTTTTCATCCTCCCCTACTGAAACTCACCAATTATTTTAACAATGGAAAAAGAAAGATTACTCAACATAAGTGTTTTGATGAGTTGAGTATTTGACATACAGAATACTAAGGCATAAGTACTGTTTTGGATACAGGCTGTGTGTGACTCACAACTGAATTCCCACAACAAAGCTTTTACTGGAGGTTCCTTTCCCTCTGGCTTTAAAGTTGGTTTGCAGAGTTTTTGATAATTTATTTTTTAAAAATAATACAGTGACATGAAATAAGTGTAATAAAACAGCAAATGGGCTAAAATGGGCTAGCTGGTCCTGGGAACCTTCATGCCATTTTGTTCCAGGGTAGGCATATACACCTGCCATTTGACTGGGAACCCATTCAGCTTTCCTGAGGGCCACATGAGGCCAGAAAATGTTTTGTGCATATGATATGCATGTGTCCTATAATTGCTTTATTGTAATTTAACCAAAGGTAACAGTCAGGTATCAGGAGAAAGATTTGTGAATAGGTAATGTCCATTACCGCATTGCTTTTAGTAGCAGAAAAATTGGAACCAATGTAAGTGTATAATGAGCAGTGTCTAGCTAAATAAAATATGTTCCAGTTACTTAAAAAATACAATTCAAAAATTTAAAAATTTATATCCAGGAAGTATATGATGTCATATGTAAAAGTAGAAAATAAAGCTATAGTGTATAGAGTTGACCTTTGAACAACACAGGTTTGAACTGTGTGGGTCCACTTATATGCAGATCTTTTTCATTAAATAAATTAGAAATATTTTTGGTGATTTGTGAAAATTTGAAAAAATATTTTCTTTAGCTTACTTTATGGTAAGGATACAGTATATAATACATTAACATATAAAATATGTATTAATCAAACGTGTATTATTGGTGAGACCTTCTGGCCAACAATAGGCTGTTCGGAGCTAAGATTTGGGGTAATCAAAGTTAATATGCAGATTTTTGACTGTATAGAGGTTCAGTTCCCCTAACCTCTGCCTTGTTCAAGGGCCAACTGTATACTATGTTAGTAAGTATTGAAGAAAAGTATATATGCATACAAAGTGAAATCACAAGGAAATAAATAAGAATGTTAACTTTTTTATTGGCCTGTAGGGCTGGGAGTTATTTTTATTTTTGTTCCTTTCTCATACAAATTCTCTACAATGAGCATGTATTAACTACGTAATGAAGGAAAAAAACATTTAAATAATCATCAGAACTAGACAGAGCCACTCTGAACAATAGAAATAAAGACTTCACAGCATCCTTAGGTCTAAGCTTACCCATTTACAAAGTGGGAATCCTAGCCCCAGTTTTCTGAGAAGAAAATAGGTGTCATATATGAAGCATTGTATCTTCTAAAATGGAACATATATATATAATCTTATGCATAGAATGGGATTTGCTTACCAAATTCAATTCCTTAATTTAATAATCCTCTTTTAAGAAGAAAATCAAGTATCTAGAAAATGTTTCTCTGATGTTCAAACATATTTTTCACCTTCCTGCTTCTTTGTCTCACCTTAATATTTATATATAATTAGTCCATTACTCTTTCTCTATGCTACATTTAACTCACTTTTACTTCATAACAAGTAAAGATCTGATTTGAATCATTTCCTTTAAACTGAGTGTCATGAAACTAATTTTGCTAATATATTTAACACTAATTTTGTAGTCCTTTAGTTCCATACTTGCATGCCCGCTCTGTCCAGATCTTGAATGGTAAGCTTAGACACACAGTGTAAGTTTTGTTTTCTTTAGCACTTACAAATGCTCCTTCATGGAAATATGTGGGATGGGGGCTAAGAAATATTTGTAATGTTTACCCAGGCCTATGTGTTAAATATAGCTCTAAGGAAACCCATTGAAAAAAATCATCCATGCTTCCCAGAAATTTATTTTTAGAGATTTTTAATCTCCTTTCTCAGAAATTTTTCAAATTTCTCCCCTCTAATAAAATTTCTTCAAGATATGTATAATGTTCTATGTCAGAGGGGGTGTTTCCTAACTTATGAAATTGTTGAACCTTACTGTATTTAAAGCCTGTAAAAGAATTATATCTTAGTAAAATATATTGAGAGTTTTCTATTTATCAAACATAATGCTAAGTAATTTGCACGGGTTTATCTCCTTTCATTCTCTCAGCAGACTCCTGAGGTGGGCAATATTGTCATCTGCATTTTACAGATGAGGCAACTGAGGTTTAGAAAGGGGCAGAAGCTTCAGTCCCAGATAGTATGACACCAGAATTCACTTAATTGCAATACTGCCTCCCAGTGGTAGAAATGGCAGTACTGTATGTATTACTAGGTCACAACTTTCTGATTCCATAGTAAATCTCTTGTACTTTGACTCACAATAATCTAAAGCCCTTTAAGTCATTCTTGACATGTGATATATCATATCTTAATTATATTTGAAATTGAATACCCAGGCCATTAGGCACATCTGTGTGTGTGTGTAACAATTTTTACTAGTTTGGAATATTCCTTCTTTTGATCTACTAGTTTGAAATATTCCTTCTTTATTCTATTTGAGTAAAATATAAGTAATTTCCATCATACATGACAGTCATAGGAAGGTTCTTCATTTACTTCACTTAAAGGAATATTTTTCCCAGTACCATAAGTTTTCTAGCATCAAAACTTTGTGGTCTTTTTAGTAAAACTTAACCCCCCTCTCTCTTCATGTCAGGTAAAATTCCCCCAGAAAGTACATTGATATTCAATATTGATCTCCTGGAGATTCGAAATGGACCAAGATCCCATGAATCATTCCAAGAAATGGATCTCAATGATGACTGGAAACTCTCTAAAGATGAGGTAACCTTTCCTTCCTTCTACTCTTTCTTCCTTTCAGGTCATTTTTTTAGAAATTTATTTTTTTAGAAATTTATTTTTATTTGGGTAAAATGTTACTTTCTTAAAATACTGGTGCTTGGAAAATTGACTTTTTCAGTGGAAATCATTGCTTTGGAAAGAAATACATTGAGAGAAATTCATTGGCATATAATATAAAAATACATGAGAAGTATATGGAGAGAAACTTTTCATTCTTTTGCTTTTTTTCTTTCTTCCAAATACTTAAGGTTCACTATATCTTGCCTTCACCCTGAGTTTTTGAAAGACCTATTTTGCCAAGATAATTCCCATTTTGAAGTTACTGTATAAGACCATAGAAATGTCCTGAGAAACATCGCAAATGGACAGTTTCTATTTAAAACTATAGACTGGCTGTTAAGTGCATTTTTGTAGTGATTTCCTAGCAAATAGCAGCAAGCAACTTAACATGCTCAGTTTTGTACATGTTAGAACCTGAAGAAAGCAAACTCCAGTCTGGATTTTTCACAGCAGGAGGCACCTTTCCCAACCCTTCAAAGTCCTGGTGTTGGAGTAAGCAGAAAGGAAAATGTCGCCACCCTATAATTTATTCAGGCTTTTGCAGCCATTGCTACAAATACCTGTCTTAGTCTGGCTGTTGTGGGGAAAGAAGTGGAGGTAGATATTGATTCCTGTGTTTTTTATCTACCCCTATTCTCCATTCTGGCTTGGTTGGTCAGAAATCAGGTCCCTTTTTATGCTTGGTCAATTTCATTCTAATGGCCAGGAAATGATTTAAGTCTTGAATAAGCTAAGTTGTTAAGAACGAAGAGGTCATGATATTTAGCTACTAAATTTATAATGCCTCGTAATATTACCAGTCATAGGACTTTTTCTATCCAAGATAAATTTTAATTCCCTTTCATTTAAAAAATCTTGAATATACAACACATTCACATTGTTCAAATAATCAATTTTAAGATATTTATTAAGAAATCTTTCTCCCTCCCATATCTTCTTGTACCGTGTGATCTATCCCCTTCTATATCCAGTTTTATGAGTTTCTATTGTATCTTTCCAGTGTTTCATTATGCAAATATAAGCAAACATAAATATATATTTTTATTTCCCCCTTTCTTGCACACAAAATAGTACGTTATACATAATATTTGGTATCTTGCTTTACTCATACAATATATCCTAGAGATATATTCTACATTAATCCATAAAGCTTCATCATCTTTTTTTTCTAAACTGCATTAAATCACCTGAATCTTAAAAATAAATATATGCCATATGTTTGCATGTTGATGGCAGCATGGTGGGGGTGGGAAGGATTTGAAATTGCTTGTCTAACAGAAGGAATAATAGGGATATGATTAAAAATGAAAATACAGGTTGAACTACATTATGGTGAACCTAGTGGGTAATTGGAGGCAGTATTTTGTTTGTCTTTAAATACTTGAATGAAAAACAGAAATTTTTACTCTAACTACTCATTGGGTTGGATTTTTGCTTTAATTTTGGAGATTGGAAGGTCATGTGGCATGATCACAGCCAGGTCCACATCATGTGCTATTCCCAGACACTTGCTTACATTTTTAAAAAGCCATCATTTAATGTGATTTTAAAAGAAATAGCTGGGATTCTGACCCTAGTTAGAAAATAAGATCTGGAGAATTTAATGAATTGAAATACAACAGTCTTTCAGACGCTTGGCTTTATTTAAACTCAGATCAAGAACAGGCAGTCTGCTGTCAGTGGGTGTTTTTCAAATGATATAATCTTATCTTTGCCTCTGAGCAATATTTATGTCAGTATAGAATATTGTTTCTAAGTACATGCAAAATAGCAACAGGTTTTAAGAAAAAAATCCCCTATAATTATTTTACTGTCATTAGAAATATACCATAAAGTAGTTGTTTAGTAGTTGTTATATATGATTAAATGAATTACTGGTCTACTTTGTGATATTGATTAGCTCAGTATGGGTGTCTTATGAATTAGAATTATTAATGGGATTCATTTTTTTTGTAGGTTAAAGTGTATTTAAAGAAGGAGTTTGAAAAGCATGGTGCGGTGGTGAATGAAAGTCATCATGATGTTTTGGTGGAGGACATTTTTGATAAAGAAGATGAAGACAAAGATGGTTTTATATCTGCCAGAGAATTTACATATAAACATGATGAATTATAAAGATACAGCTGCTCATTTTATATAGCATCCATTCTTAAAGAGAAGGCAATCAACTCTAAAGAAAGTCTTAGTTTTTAAGAATGTTCTGTTCTTACATTGTTTTTGTTTTTTCGAAATATTATTTGAAGAACCCCTCAGGGTTTCTACATACCCATTTCTTTCTGGTGAGTTATTAGGAAAAAAAAATTAATTTGTCTTTTAGTAGAAGACTCTGGACCATTTTCCCCTTTTACCTATGAAGCCTCATGTTTTACTTGCGTAATTTTAAAATATTGCAACTGTGAGCATACCCAACATAAGACCAGGTCATAGCACAAATTAGGACCCTTTATTTCTGCTCCCCTCTCTTCTCTCCAAATTAGATACTGATATTTGAAAAGTCTTTTACAATAGTCCAAGGCTTACTGTTTTCATGTTATAATGAAACAGTGTGTCTGCCTTTGATCCCTGCTTGAAGGCAACAAGAAAGTGGTTGTTGAACTGGTGAACAGTTACTGCTTTACTGAGGAGATGTGCAATGCTGAAGTGAGTCACAAAGTTGATAAATTATAAATATGTATACATTGAATATTCTTTCTTGGCCTTAAGCTATATATGGTTTGATTTTTCTAGTGAAAAATAACCTGTCATGGGAAATAGGACAAGTTATTTATGTATTTTTTTCTTCCTAATAAAATGTGTCAAAATATTGTAGAGGAGGTAAAGAATTGTATTTAATCAGTATTTTACTTTTTAAAGCTAGCAGATTACCACTCCTAGTTCTTTAATGTCAAAAATCTATAACAAGTATGTAACAGTACAATAACTTTGAATCCTAAGGGAAATTAGTGAGCCAAGGAAAATTTTCATATTTCTGCCTTGATAAAAAGTGAGGCAGATGCACAGCAATCACTATTGAATAGAGATCTAATCTGGGTCAAAAAACTGATAGAATTTTATGTTCAGTTGGCTTTTATCCTTAATGCTTTTTAAAAGTGCCCAAATCTCAATATACTACTAATAATTCCTTGTAGTTTACAAAGTGTTCTCAAGTACATCATTGTCTTTGCTCCTTATTCTGAAGCCCGTGAAAAAATCTGATGGATCTTAATATGCCTGTTTTATAGGTGTGGAAATTATCATTCAAATAGTTTGTCATGCCCAAGGTCAACAGCTAATTTGTAGATGAACTAGATTTTCTATCCTCAAGTAGGCTTTCTGCTGCCCTCTACTATTGAAAAAGTAAATTTTTCTTTGAATTCACTGTGCCCAATGCGCTCTTCATTTGCTATCCTAGCAGTCAGTTTTGGTTTTTGTCTTTAGGTCCTCATCCTTTGAAGATGGTTTACTGTCTGTTTCTGGTGCTTTATAAGTCTATGAGCCAGGCTTTGGTTTCATTGAATACTCTTGGGGTTAACACTGAATTGCCTCAAAAACCCTGCGCAGTGAGAGGGTCCAAGTGTGTGTCTTAGTCCTTTAATTCCTGCTTACCTCTAGGTTTTTCTTTTCTCTTTTTTTAAGAATTATGAACAATGGTTATATCATCTATAGACTACTTTCACTGATTGCATATTGACATTTTCCTCACTAAAACAAAATTCTTGGTCTTGTATTGTCGCTGTCATTTTCCTAAACCTAAGATTCTTCAATACAGAAAGCCTTGTGCTGTGTTATGGGGAGAAAGAAGTAGTTTGATCTATGGTTCTACTTCTTAGGAACATTATTGGTGGTACTGTTTATGGTAGAACAAGAAAAGTAAACAGAATTATGATGATTCAAGTAGCATATTTCCTTATCTCATGAATTTGTATCAATTCCCATCTGTATTTAGACACAAGTATGAAATGAAAACATATAACTAGGTTATGATTGTTTTTAAGTTACCTGCTTTTTTGGTTAACTGCACCTTTGTGCCTTTCCATTTGTGGGAATGATCAGACATGAACTGTGACCTCACTTTATGTAATTGGACTCATTAATACTGCTAGATGTGTTATATTTAAATCCATATGATTATGTTGTGCTATTCTTTTAAAAATAAAATCTATTTGGGAAATAATTGGTTTTATGAAAAATTTTCAAGCGCCACTTTCCTTAGTAGCTTTATTGGTTTTCTTAACTGTTATTGTAGATTTTATGTCAAAACTAAGTGAGGAAGATGTACAGGTTACATATATTTGTAAGGAAAGCTGGGGTTTGGTTTAAATTTTAAGTTTTGAAATAGTGTTAAACCTTGAGCATTGGGGGCTATAGTTAATAGTGAATTTTTGGTACTGGCAGCAGTGGTTTTTGCTTTGTTTGCTTGCTTTAGTGGTAGTTATCACTGTTGTTTAAGTTTGGGATTTTATGGTATGTCACAGGTAGACAGGATGATGATTAATGCCTACTGAGTAAATTAATGCTGTAAAATACCCTATATAATTAAGTGAAAGTCTGTATTGCCATAAAAATTATAAGAAAATGATTTTTGATTCAGATGGGTGATTAGCCATTTAGATCTTTCCTTGCAGAAATGAATTGGTACCTCACCTTATTCATGATACAGGATATTGCTTACATCCATAATGATATTTAGATATAAGCATGCTATCTCTCCCCACGGAGTTGAGTGGATGGTGATTTCTCAGTGTTGTTGGAAATTGCAAGAGGACAAAAAGGAAATTGGTGGAATGTTGTGGGGGAAAAAATACATCTCTCAACTTTTTATTAAAAAAGCAAATTATCATTGTAATAATAACCTTGGGAAAAATAATAAGGAACTTATTTTCCAGAGATGTAGAACTCTTAGACATAAGACTTTTTTGTTTTGCTTTCTTTCTTACCTACTTAGTTTGAATTGAAATCTAAAATGTCAAACATAATTATAAATTCATATACCCTTTTGAAAACATTAAAATTACAGTACTTCCATCTCTTATTGTCTGTAGCATTCTTTTTAGTAGGATTTGCATATTCCCCATAGTATAATGAAATCCATACATTCTTACATGGGTTTGGAGTCTCTATTCTGCATTTTAACCTACTTGCTAGATGAGTCTAACCTTTGAGAGACAATTAACTTCACTAACTCTCTGCCATTGAATATGTCTCCTATAGTTTTCTCTTAATGAATATTCTGTTTTGCATTCTGTAAAACATTGGGCATTGGGGCAACTAATTGTGCCTAAAAATCAATATACCATCAAAAGGATAAGTCGTGTGATGATAACTCTTTTCCCCAGGGTTAGAAATTTTTTATGACTGAATTCTTACAGCAAAAATTTATATGGCCAATAAATAAATTTTTGTGAACATCTTCCCCACCAGAAACAGAAATGAGTCCCAGACTCTTTACCAAAATTATTCTTATATCTTATTTTTTCAGGATTGTCTACAACCAAACCCTTGAAAGAAGAAATTTAGGAAAAAATTAAGATATTCTTTTAAAAAAAGTCATATGTGTATGCAAGTGTATATGTGTGTATGTGTGTGTGTATATGCTGAAGTGAGTCACAAAGGTACTAAATTATAAATGTAAACATTGAAATATATAAACTATATACTGTTTGTGTATATGTGTGTGTGTATGTATGTGTATAAACACAATTTTGTACTGAAGATAGTCATTGTGGTGCTCTCCCTAATGCATGATTTTACCTCCCTGAGAACTTGTCTTTACCATGCAAACTTCATTTTTGTTGCCTTGGAGTCTGTCATTCTATACTTTCTGATATTGCTGGTAATTTACTTATAATTCAGATAAAATCTCCTAGTATTTCTTCACGTGAAACCAACAATAATCTCTTTTTACCCCTTCAGCTTGAAGTTTACCAAAGGGATTAAGTGGCTCACTTTGATATACACAGATTATTGCTAAAGAAAGGAAAAGGATAAAAACAGTTGGAAGATTCTGGGAGATCTGCAACAGATAGCATACTGTCTGGATTATTTTGTTTACCATTCTTTGTGTTCCTGTACTGCTAATAAAACTTCTGACATAAAATGGATGACTTTAGTGAGTATGAGTCAGCCAATAATTTACAAAGCCGATCTAAGTGCTTATGAGCTAGACTAACATCAATTTTGTTTTATGATCTAAAAACAAATGACTTGAGGTTTTAATCTAAAAATTGCTGAGGTTTTACTCTAAAAATCCAGAGTAAAGTGAATGCTGTCCCCTTGGCCTCTAGTAACAGCTAAATTATATCCCACTTGGGGATTTCTGGGGATTTACAAGTCATTTCATTAATTTAAAATTCCACACTAGTAGGATAAAGATAATTTCCTCTCCATTAAACAGTTGCCTTAAAAAGAATTCTACACACAATGTAAATTGAAGTATTGAGGGACAGTTTTCATTATTATAAAGAATGAAGTAAGGATATGAAGACCCTTTGGGGCTAAGTTCCAATTTCTTGTATCTTTTTCTCATTCATTTGTTGGGCTTACTTACCCTGCTGGAGTGCATTTTATGTTAATATAACTCTGAAGCTGATTTTTACCTCTGGGTATGAGACCAGGACATTGTAACATTCAGCCACATGTGGTACTTCTCATCTGACTGTATCTCCTGGAATTGTTGTGTAGCTATTTTGTGCAGAATACATTCTGTTCAAGACATTCAAGATTTTTAAAAATGTTCTTAAGTTAGTAGCTAATTTTAATTAAGTGGGTAATTATACTTGTGTAGAAGAACCAAGAAAAGAAGTAGTGCAAATATAGGAGATTTGCCTTAAAATAAGAGACAGAATTTTACAGTGAGAAAATTGGGAAGAATTTAAAAAGGATTTCACACTGAAATCCTGATTTGAATTGCCAGATTTCCTCACAGCATAATTGTCTCTCCTGCTATCTTCATAACAATGTTTCCTTGAAACTATTCACTTAAGTTTTTCCTTGTATTATTTTGGCTACATTTTATAAGGTATAGAATCTTTTACAAAATGTCATGTACTTTTTTTCTTGCTACATGCAGTAGTATTCAAGGTTATATGTTTTGTATCCTAATTGTAAAGAAAATAAAGTAACCTACTAAAGTTAATTGATTCCCACTCATATTAAGACTGAACAGTAAATCAACTCTGCTTCTTAAATTGTCTTTTTCTAACATTTTAACTACTATTGTAATAATTCTTCAAAGCTATTAACTTTTTATCATTCACTTAGTTCCTCTAAGCCGTTGGGAGAGCATTGTGTATTTTCCTCCGTCCTTGTGCCCGCCACAACAGGGAATTGAAGGACAGAGACACAGTAGTGAAGCAAAGTAAAAAGTTTTATTTAAAGTTCTTTAAAGAGAGAAAAAGTGCAGCAGGCAACCTCAGCGAGGAGACGTGTCCTGCAAGGTTGGAGAGAGAGAGAGTTTAAAGTTAAAAGGTTATCCACTTAGTGTGGGCAACCTCAGAGAGAGGAGCTCGCCAGAAGGTCGGGGTTCCTCCATTTAAAGATTCTTCAGGAATGTGACTTAAGGGCTGGGGGTGCAGACTTGTTAAGTGGTCTCTGAATTAACACAAGGAACTTCCTGCTCTGATTTCTCCCTGGGATACCGGGTTTTGGTCTGGGAGCATATCAGACAAGACCGCCTGCCCAGCCCCCAAGGTGGGCTGAGTTATTGTCTGTTTGCTAAAGAGTAAGTTAAGAATCTTACTTCTTAACTTCCTGAGTATTGAAATGCAATCTTATTTTTAAGATGAAATTCTTCCTGCCTTTTACTATGTTGTTTATGGCTGGGCCTGCATGCTAAATTAGTTGCCAAGGTCTCAAATTACTTGATTAGGGCTGAAGGAATAAAAAACAGCATATAGATAGGTTAAAAAAATAAGCTGAGCTTGCATGATTAACACAATAAAGACATGGGCTATGATGAAGTACCCTCTTTTATCTGGGGAATGTTCAAACATTCCAGGCCAACTTACTCCTGGTTTTTTGACCTTTTACTGATTAACTCTGGGTCCTTTTCTTTGGCCTTACTCTCTTTCCACCCTGCTCATATCTATTTTCCTGCCTAACAAAGCTGAATGATATTCAATGATTCTCTGTTTTTTCTTTGAGGTAGTATATTTTATTTTTATAAAATTAATATGTAGTATGATGAATTTTAACACTTAAGTGAATTTTAGGATAATCACAGAGTTATGCAATCACTACAGTCAATTTTAGAATATTTTTATCACCTCAAAAAGAAATCCCCACACCCATTAGCAGTCATTCCCCCCTTTCCTGATCTCCCTTAGCCATGAATCTACTTTATCTCTACTTGTCTATTCTATAAATTTTGTAATAATTCTTAAAGCTCAGTCCTTTATATTCAAGGTAAAGAAAAATAGATTTTCTGAGAAATTCATGACAGTTAAGTAACTTGGATTTAATCTTTATTGTAGGTGCTTTTTGAAATTCAAAGTGAGCCAGACATAGATTCTAGCTCTAAGGAGTAAATCACTCTGTAGATGCAAAAACTCAAATCCTTTGCACATGTAGCAATGGTATAAGGGATATAATAAGAATAGTAAAAACCTAGTCCTTTGTTTAGGATAATGGGTAGACAGTCAGTGGAAAGGAGAGTAAAGAATTATCAGGAATTTTAAAACTAATACATCTAGATTATTTCCAATTCTCCAATCAGGCAACTAATACAACAGGGAACAAAATAATACCAGTTTTCTGGTCTTTCATGAAAAACAGAAGAGCACCCAAACAAATACTCTTTCTAGAGTCAGAAATTTTAGATAATCTCTCAATGCATGAAATCATTGTTTAATCACTTATAGAATGAGGGAAGTTTCCTATAATTGAACCCAAAATTTCTACAGCAATTTAGACAGACTTTGTTTAGTTTTCTGAAGAACTGGAAAATAACAGTAACTGCTGTTTAAAGTCGTATATTATCTCAAGTGAGCAGTGGTTAAATTGCAGGTATAAGAGGCTCAACTTCTACAGTTCTGGATAAGCTTTCATATATTAAAAGGTGTTCTCAGCTGTCACTAGAATATTAAAAATAAGCCTATTTTTAAATCTGTACATGGCGTGAGGTAGATCTTTTCCACATGTATAAGCTAAGAAAACATAAAAGCAAGAAAGGATTAGTTTGAAACTCTTAAGTCTGATCATAGAATCCTCTAGTCTGCTCTTTGATAGTCAGTCACAAGGTGAAGTCTCACTGATTCCCCTTTAAATTATCTGTACAGTTGGCTAAACCTATGAATGACTCCTCACAGTACAGCAGTGAGTGTGAGACATACATAATATTGTTTTTACAATCAGATCCAGAACATTTATGAGCTGTTACCTTATTCTAATTAAATAGGAGCCGTTCATTGAAACTGATTAAATTGAATTATAAACCCGTCACCTAATTATAATGAATAGGATTTTACTCCTTTTGCTGAAGTACAATTTATATGGTTGCTTAAAGTGCATATCCAAAGGGCTTGATGGATCGTTTAAATTCTAAAAATATTTTAAAAATAGACTTAATCTTAATACTTATCTCTCCGTGTTGCCTATACTCAGTATGAGCAATAATTCTATAAATTTATTTAAGGGCATTCTAACAGTTTGTTTCTATGGTAACCAAATTTAGAAAACTAACCTAAACACTGTTGTCATAGGATTAAGGCAGGTGGCTGACTAAGCTTAACTAGTGCTTTTCTTTCTCATTTTTCCATGACTCTCCTGTTAGCTCCTTCTTTGGTTCTCATAAATTACATACAAAGCAATTACACAGGCTTTCTTAGTCATACATGAGTGTCTTATTCACATGATACTGCCTGTTGTTCATTTCCATGAGATTTTCCCAACGACAGACCTCTTTCCTTCTGCTATACTAAATGAAGCACTAAGTGGAAAAAAATACTTCTATATGCAATGTGTTAAAGGCATTTCTCAATTACTCATGTACTTCAGACCCTCAGAATCATTGCATAGATAGGGTTCTTCAGACAACAACACTGGATAGAAGGCAAAATTGTCATCAGCAATTTTTTAAAAAAGGGTCTGGGCTTCAGTAAGTCTAATTTATGATCATCTTTTAAGCTTGTTTACATATCCCAGTATGGTATATCAATGTATTTATCTATGCATAACTCCAGTGTTATCCTGACACAATATACAATATATTCACATATTACCTCTCTACTTAATTTCCCTGCTTGCCTCTGACTTCTTGAGAGGAGGGGCTTCTTCATCTTTGTAGCAACAGTGCAATTCCTGGTACAAGTGTTCAATAAATGTTTCTTGCTAAATTAGTAAGTTAAGAAGTTCTATAACTATGCATTTGCAGTTCTTGAAATAATGGGTCTAGTTGATTCTGTATCAGAACATTTGGTTCCTTAGAGGCATGAAGACTAGCACTTCTGGTCTTCCACATCTGCCCCTGAAGGAGAAATTGCCATGGACTTGTTATATCATATTGGGAACAACTAGAAAACTGGGCAAGACATATGAAATGACTTCTGTCAGACATTGGACAATAAGCAGAGCAGGACTGTGATCCTCAAGATTTGAAAGGAAGCAAATGAGACGAGAGCTACAATTACCCCAGCTTTCTGCTTGGAGGCAATTCCTGGACTATACATAGCAAAGAGAAGAAACAAAACGAGCCCAGTTGTCTTGTAGGGCTGAAGAAACAGAGCCCAGACTTCAGGGAGGTTGAAGCAGCTAGAATTTGTGGAGTAGAGCACTGGAGAAGAGAAAATCAAATGGAAAAGAACTAAAGAAATTTGCAGAAAGTTTCCCTTGGGTCACTGAATACCAATCTGTGCCTGCACATGATGACTCTCCACATGGCTGGGCAGAGAAAAAGTCCTGAGGAATGATAGGGAGCTATGCACCAAAAAATTCCAGAGCTTACACAAAACTGGGAATTTTTCACATTCCCACCAGCCAGAATTACCATATTGATTACGTAGAGGAACAGGCATTATAGCAGATAGGTGAGTCAGACATCAGAGAAGGGCTAACATAGCCATATAGTTAAAGCTGCTGTAGAGTTGTCTTCAACGGTTTATAAATAAGGCTCAAATGGATCACACTGACTCTTAAGTGCCAGAACAAAGTCCAACAAACCTTTACAGGAACACCAAAATATCCATCACTCAGCAACGTGCAATCCACGAAGTCTGGCATCCATTGAAAAATTACAAGACAAACAGGAGGTAAATCAATCAATAAAAATAAACTGAAATTGGCAGACATGATGGAATTAGTATACAAGGAATTTTAAACAGTTCTCAAAATATAAATATGATCAGAGATTTGAAGGAAAACATGAGAGAAACAGGTATCAAAATAACCAAATAGAAGTTCAAGGAATGAAAAACCAAATTTCTGATATAAAAATTTCACTGATTGTTAACAGAGTAAATACTGCAGAAGAAGAGATAAGTAAACTTATCTTTATTTATGAAGAAATACTAGGAGAAATTATACAAACTGAAATATAGCTAGATAAAGGCTGGTGGGGGGTAGGGAGAGGAAGAGCAGAACCTCAGTGACCTGTACGGCAACATCAAGTGGCCTAATATATGTCCAGTTGCAGTCTTTGAAGTTGGGAGGAGCAGGATAGAATGGGTAAAATATTTGAAGAAATAATGGCCAAAATTTTTCCTAATTTGATGAAAACTACTAAAGCTACAGATCCAAGAAGTTAAATGAGCCCCAGTAGGATAAACAGAAAACAAAACTAAACAAAACAGACCAAGATACATCATAACACATTGCGCAAAATCTGTGTCAGAGAAAACTCTTAAAGAGCAGCCATAGTGGGGAGGCAAAGGATATATTATGTACAGAGGAAGAAGGGTGATCAAACACACTTTTCCTCAGAAACTTTACAAATTTTGTGACAATGTCTTATAACAATGGAGTGGTACCTTTAAAGTGCTAGGAAAAACAAGTAGCTCTCAGCAAAAATGTTTAAAAAATGAAAATGAAGTAATGACTTTTTCAGACAAAATCCCAGAGAGTTTATTACCATCAAACCTGCACCTACAACAAATGACAGCTATATAGTAGTAAAGGTGGGGCTAGGGAATAGAAGTAGACTCTTGAAAGTGTTTTGCATTGTACCTGAAATTACATTATTTAAAAGTAGACAGTGCTAAATTTAAATGTATATTGTAAACCCTAGAATAATCAAAAATAAAATAGGCAGTATGGCAAATAAACCAATAGTGAATATAAAATGGAATACTAAAAAATACTCAATTCTTCAAAAGAGGGCAAGTAGAGAGCAAAAGAAACTAGCAAACAAAAACAAGTTTGGGCAGGGACAAAGAACAGATACAACAAATAGAAGTAGCAAGATGTTACATTTAAGACCCATGATACTGATAATTACATGAAATAAAAATGGTCTAAGCCAGAGTTTCTCAATCTGGATGCTTTGACATGTAGGGCCAGGTAATTCTTGGTTGTTGGGGGGGTGTACTTTGCATGGTAGGCTGTTTAATAGCATTCCTGGCCTCTATGTACTAAATGCTAGTAGAGACCTCCCCCACCTCTTCCTTGTGACAACCCAAAATGTCTCCAGACATTGCCATATGGCCCTTGGGGCAAAAGTGTCCCTGTTTGAGAGCCATTGATCTAAACACTCCAATAAAAGTCTGACTGAAGGAAAAGCAAGACCCAGTTATATTCTATGGGGAAAAAAAGCACTATAATATAAAGACAGAGATAGGTAAAAATTAACAGGACAGTCTCCTTGGTTGGGCTAAATGCACAATAAGGTCCCTTTGTGCTCCAAGAGTCTATGCCACTGCTCTGTTCTGTGGTATCTACATTGATTTCCTCAGCCATCTCCCACTATCCACTTGTTCTTGTAGCAAAATACAAGCATGTACATAACATACAAAAGACATGGAAAAAAAGTCTCCTTCCCTTCCTTGCATTCAGTTACCCCATTCTCCTCCCCAGTGGCATCTCCTATTACAGTTTATGTATCCATCCAAAGATATTCTACGCATTTGCAAATATGAATGCAGGCATACTTTTCCGCCACAAATGATAACACACAATGTTGGGCACATGTCCCTGCCACCTTAGCATAGTTTGGAGATCTTTCATACCAGTGCATAGAAATAGATCTTCCTCATTAAAAAAAAATAGCTAAGATAGCATTCTTTATACTGATGTGCTGTAATTTATTTGAACAGTCCTCTATGGATGGACATTTGCTTCCAGGCTTTGCTAGAACAAATAATGCAGCATTGGGGAAACTTGTACTCAGCATTTCACACCTGTGTCATTATAAACAAAGCCTGTGTCAGGATAAATTCCAGAAGTGGAATCCTTGGTCAAAGCCTATACATTTGTTATTTTAGGAGAGATTGCCAAATTGTCCTCTATTAAGGTTATAAACTTTTTGATTTTTGCTAATCTGACAAGTAGAAAATGCTGCCTCGTATATTTGATTTGCAGTTAAGTAAGCTCGATTATCTTTTCATGTGCCTGGCTGGTATTGCGTTTGTTTTCCTGTAAATTATCTTTTTATATCCTTTGCGATGGTCTTTTCTTACTAATTTACAAAAGGTAGAGTTTGTGTTCCCGTAACAGGCTGATTGTCATGTCCTGACCAATGACCTTGAGTCAGCATCAGCCCACCTGTCATCTGTCTGTGGATTTATTAACACAGGTATGGAATCTTGGCTTTGCCACATGCTGTGTGACCTTGGGTTAGTTACTTAATCTATTTGGACTTCAATGTCCAAGTACCCGGCAAAAGGCCTGGGTTATCAACATGGCGCAGGACGGCATCTTTAAAACCAGGGAGTCGGTTTGAACGTGTGAGTTGACAAAGTACAGGACACGTTTTTCCGTGGGGAAATTTTGTTTAGACACCGAGGCCCGCCCGTAGCAACCAAACGGCGGAGTCCGGGAGAGGCGTCCGGAGGAAGAGGGGCCTGGCTCCATCAAAGCCCGAGTCCTCCCTTTCGAGAAAGCCGCAACCTGGGCCGTGACTTAGAACTACAAATCAAGAGAGAGGAGAGCCACTTTCTTCGGCGAGCTTCGCCTTCTCGGCCGCAGCCCGGCTCCCAAGCGCGGAGAGCGCGGAGCGCGGCGCTGCGGCCCGGCCCGGCCCCCGGCCCTGGGTAGGGGGTAGGGGGGTGGGGCCGCGGTCACGTGATCCGGGCCAGCTGTGAGCGGGGGGCGGTGGCCGGGACGCTGGGAGTCTGGGGAGGGGAAAGCGCCCGGCGGCTGCCTCCGCCACTGCAGCTGCAGCCCCCGATGTCGCCGCAGTAATCGCAGCCCCGGCAGCACCCGTACCCTCAGCGGCCTCAGCATCAGCACCGCAGAGCCGAGCCCGGAGCCCGCCGCCCGCAGGTGAGCCGCGGTGGGAACCCCTGGGAGCGCAGAGTCTGCAGCCACTTCCCTCCGCGCTCTTCACCCGCATCCGCCATCGCCCTCCCTTGCGCCTCGTCGCCTCCCGCTGTCCCTCCGAACTCGCGGGTAGCGCTCCCCGGGGCCGAATCCCGGCGGGGTTGGATCCCGGCGGGACCTGGCTGGAGGGGGCTGCGGTCTCAGGGGCTCAGGGAAGAGGTGGTCTGGCCTGGGGCCGGGGACGACTCGGGCTAGTAGACTGCGGGGGCGCAGGAGAGGGATGCCCCACCCGGGGCACCCTGCAGCCTGGTTGGAGCCTGTCCCTGCACTCCGCACCCCAGCCCCATCCTTCCTCTCACCTCCCTTTAGCTCTCCTAACCCCCAGCTGCTTTTCCTCTGTTTCAGTTTCCTGATATGCAAGTTGCTGCCCCGCTAGGATGTGTGCCTGTGCGTCCCTACCCCCGCCAGCCCTCGGGCAGCTCCCGGGGTTCGGGGCTCGCTCACGCGAAGCCTGGTGGCAAGGCTGGCCTGGCACCTTCCCAGGAGGTACTGCACCTGCCGCGTGGGCGGCGGGCGAACATGGCTGCCTCGCAGTGTCTGCGGTCCTTGGCCCGACTCTGGCCCACGTCCTCCCGGTCCGCGACCGCTTAATCCAGGGGACTAACCTCCGTTTAAGTGCAAACGCGCGGGCTGTAGTTCTAGTCTACGCGAGTCATAGGACTGGACTTGACACAACTCCCCAAAGCCACACCCGGTGCGGTTTTTTGGGTGGGGGGTGCCCGGGCAGGTTGACGCCAGGGCGCCGGGGCACGTATTGGTAAAAGGCGCTCGTATTTCTGCGTTGAGTATCCACTTAGATTCTCTCTTCGGGGCGCCGATTATTTGGCAGCATCATTCCTGAAGTCTTGAGACTGCAAAGCAGCAAGGACGCCTGAACTTTAAAAAAACTGATGAGAACTCGGATTTAGGGGTTAAAAATATCCATTAAACCCAAGTGCACCTAAGAAGCTTAGTCCTTTGCTGCGACTCAAAACTGACTTGGTAGGATTCTGTTAAATAATGCCGTCTTTCTGAATTTGCTTTTTAATTCTAGTTTTGCACGCGTCTTGGATTATGCTTATGTCCAGCTTTCCAGTGTGTGTGTGTGTGTGTGTGTGTGTGTGTGTGTGTGCGCGCGCGCGCCTACTATGTTGCAAGCCTGACCAGAAGATGAATCAGTTGCAGAGGAAATCTATGTTAATTCAAAATGGCAGCATGAAGAATCAGGCCAGGCGAAAGCAAAACAGACCACAGCTAACATCAGCTGCCCCTTGATTTAAACCTTGGGGAGGGAATCTGCGGAAGGGAAGGCTCTGTTGGGTGTCGCTGGCAGCCAGCTCTGAGGGGTAGGGAGTGACTGTCGCAATAGGCTAGATTTTAGGGTGCAGCAGTTTCCTGGGGAGGTTAGGTAGGAAGTTTAGGGAGCAGTAATCACCTTCTCTAGCTTATCAAAAGTTGGTGCAAAGACCTAATTAAAACTGTGATTTTGATCTGATTTTCTCCAGCCTCCACTAAAGTTTATCTGCGTGGCTGCTTGATGTCTGTTTGATGCATAACTTCTGTTCGTTTTGCACCTACAAATGGCTCTTAAAAGAGATAAGTGTCTACCGTAAACATCACACAAGAAGAGTACACATAACAAATACCAAGTTCTTCGAGCACGTTTCATTGGAAGGGAGAGCTGGGTTAGCTCTATGAACAATCACCCACGCATCAGAGAATGGGAAATTCTTGAGAGCTGATTCGTTTTAGGATTTTTTTCGTTTGTTTTTTTAACAGACTTTCTTTCCCTTTTCACTGCTGTGCTGCCTGCCATCTTCTCATGTAGGAAGAGGAGATGCATGAAGAAGCAAGTGTTTCAGGAATAATGGAATAGAGGAAGATTAGTGCTAAGGTCAGGAATGGCGAGCTGGAATCAGCCCTAGAGGGCACTCTGCTGTCAACCTCTTTTTTATAGCCTGAAAGACTGAATCCAGGAGGATGAATGGACTGCCTCCAAGGTCATAACTGGTTGGCAGCTGTCAGTGAGGACTGAAATCCAGGTCTCAAAATTCCCCGGGTCAAGGTTCCACATGCCGCCTTTCAAAGCCTGGGGGAAAAGGGCAGACCTGTCATTATTGGGATGGCAAACAGCAATGTGAAAAAAAACTGTAACATGAATTTAAAAATCTGTAGGTATTTAAAGTAAGTTACTACACCTTAGTTTCCTAATTCAAGGCCATTTAACTTCTGAAGCTGTGTGTACCTCATATTCCAATGGCTAGACTCCTTCTATATTTAAGCACCAAAAACATAATTTTAGTCAAAGTCTGAGGTGAGAATTGCATTATTTGATTAAAAAATTAGTTGCTCATGTTTGTGGGGAACCATTAGGCCAATTTCTTTTTAAAGAAAGAGAAGTGGAACATATAGTAGCTTTTGAATATATCTAATTTTAGATAAAAGTAAAAAACCAAGTCTATTTGAAAATAATTTGGCAGCAGTACTGAAGACAGAGGCTTTTCCTATCATTTGAATTTGAATTTTGTGAGTCATATACCAGTGACCTGGATCTACTAAAGCACAACTAGAAATTGCGTGTGGGTTCGTATTCGTGCAGAGGCGGTAAGGACATGGGAAATATTTCTTTGTGGCATTCTGTACTTTCAACCCAGTGTTCTGCAGAAGGAGAAGGTAGGCAGGTTGCAGGGAACAAGGAGAATAATTTGTGATGGTAAGTGATTAGCAGGTAAGTGTGGGTAGGTATGTTGAAGTGAAGTCAGATGTTGATGCCACATGTACCATTAAAAACATAACTTGCATTAGAACATGAATGTAAAGATTCCTTCATTTAAATTCCCTTGATATACCAAAGATATCTAAAATCAGAAGTTTTAAAAGTACATAAACACATGAAGTTTGTGTTTGTTGGAGAATAATAAGAAATACAGATAAGCCAGTTATTTTTAAAAAATCACCTATGATCCCTTTATCAATCAATAATCAGTCACTGTGAAAATTTGGGACCATTTTCACTGGATTGAAAGCCAAGGTCTGTGCTGTCCAGTTCAGTAGCCACTAGCCATATGGGTAGTGTATTATAGCTAGTCCAAATTGAGATGTGTTCTGAGTATAAAATATACAGAGTAAATTTTTAAAAACTTTATGAAAAAAATTTTAAGTGTCTCAATTTTATATTGATTTTTAAAGCAATATTTTGGATATATTGGGTTTAAATAACATGATTAAAAACAGTTTCACCAGTTTCTCTTACTCTTTTAGATGTGGCTACTAGAAAAAATTATATATATGGTTCGCATCTGTCTTCCATTATATTTCTGTTGGACTGTATTGGTCTAGGTCATTAATGGAAAGTGGAAGTTGGTTGAGGTGTGTGATGCTATTCAGAGAACTGGTTATGGAAGGAGAGAGAAGCTTGAACAGAGCGGAGAGGAGAAGGTATGGGTGGAGGAGAACTACAGGAGTGAGTGCTCAGAGACTCTGTTGATGGGAAGAGTGAGTGTGCAGTGGACTGGCACTGCTGGATTATGAGACACTGAAGCACACAAAGCAGAGTATGTGGTGATCCAGGATTCAGAGTCCAATGAACTTGGGCTTGGCAGGGGTTATAGCGGTAGGACAGTAACCAGAGAGTGAAAGGGCAGCCTAGACACCACTGCACAGCACATTGGAAAGTCACTTCCACATTCAGAAATGTCTGGTTTTACAAACATAGTAAATACATTAAAATGAGCTGAGTGCATCTCATACAGTGGTTCCCAGGCTGCCAGCCAGGGGACCCTGGTCCTAGCTCAGTGTGACGTTGAGCAAGTTACTCATAAGGCACTTACCAGTATCCTTTTTGAAATGGATGAGCAAGAGCGGCCCCCTGTCTTTGCAAGGTGATTGCTGTGGGATGAGACATGGTATAGTAAAAAATACAATAGTTTATTGGAATTGGCATTACTCTAGTACGACACTACACACTGAGATAACTTGTGCTTGTAACATGTGTGCGTACAAGGACGACAACAAAAAGACCAGCCTTCCTCTGGTTCTGTCAATATAAATGATTTAAACAGTTGAAATTTTGAGTTTAGGATTTGGGGGATTAGGAGTGAGTTGAGGATCCGGACAGATTTCTTCCCTCTTTTCTTCATTCCAAATAGTCAATTATCCCAACAATGTTTATTGTTTACTACATCTTTTCTCCTCAGTTTCAAATTTAGCTTTGCCATATGCTAATTTCCTGTAATATATAGGTATATTACAATAGTCTCTGCTCTGTTAATCTGTCTATCCTTGCATCAACTACTGAGCTGTTTTAATTGTTGAAACTTTATAATGTGGTTTAATACCACGCAGGGTTAGTCTTCCCTCATTATTTTTCATTTCTGAAGCTTCTGGGCTTATCTCATATACCCTTTCTAGATGAGCTTCAGGATCATCTTTGTCCAGTTATGTCCAGGATTGATTTCTCCTAGTGACTCCATGGGTTAATTTAGGGAAGTTCGACACCTCCATATAGCATTGGATCTTCCCAGCAAAGAACATGAGTATCCCCTGCCCTTTAAATCTCCCATGTCCTTATAAAGCCTTGCAGTTTTCTTCACTGAGGATCTGTATATCTCTCTCTAGTGAACTTAACAGAAAATGGGCAGAATACCTACAAAGAAAACTGCAGCACTCCAGTGAGACTTAGAAAAAAGCTCACAGCAAAAAACAAGCTTCCTGCCTTTGGTAGGCAAGATGGAGTCAGGGCAGCCTGGTGGTTAAAGGTATTTTGGAGTCTGGATTCCCACTCCACTACTTTCTTGTTATATGAGCCTGGGCAAGACTTAACTACGCTGACCTCAATATTATCATCTTTAAAATGGGGATAATAATACTTCTGTGATGTGGTTATCGTGAGGATTAAGTTATTTTATTTATTATTTAGCTATCATACACATATTTATGTGTATTGTATAGCATGTTAATAAGCA